CGACGCCGTCTGATGTTGATCAACTTTTCGAATTTGATAACTTATCTGATTTTGTCCTATACTCAACATTTCCTTGCCCTGACTGATTACCGCCGACCTTGATCGCACGCGACTGGACAACGGGCCAGCGATGGCGCGTCGTCATGACGACCGTTTGTGCGCGAATTTCGCCTCAGTGCAACGTGCGTCCTTGACCAGTTTCTAGGTTTCCTGGTGATCAACCTTAGCCGTTGTTGTTTGTTGGCGAGCGCTTGGAAAATTAGCTTTTACGACAGCCTACCGAGCGGTTAATGACAAACCGGCTTCAAATTACATAATCAGAGCATTTCCTTAGGACGTCTGAACAGAACGTTTGGCCTTACTCGATTTCAGTGTTGGACGCCACTGGAAAGCTGCCCGACGGTATCCTGGCGGGGAACACCAACGCTTTTGGCTCCTTCGACGAGTGCCTGGGCATCGACGTGGACCTGAACGCGACCAAGCACCCTGACCTGTCTGTCCAGGGGCTGCACTTCGTCGGTCGGTACGTGCCGGGGATGGCCAAACCGGGCCGCAGCCGGCGCGGCCTCCGTAACGGCGCCACGGACACGCCCCGACACGACGACCGGCTCGGCGACGTCATCATCCTGCCCGGCGTCGGCAAGACCACCGGCGTCGTCGGCATGTGCGTGCCGTCCAGCTGCTCTGGCGAGGACGTGGTGCGCGGGCTACAGCTACTGCTCGGCGGCAAGGTGTCCGTGTCCGCGCTCGAGTCGACGACGCCGGAGGACTCTGTGGAGTTCACGCCGCCGGACAGGGCCGTCATCACCATCATGGCCCTGTTCGGCGGCCTGATGGTGGCGGGCACCGCCCTGGACCTGCACTACAGGGGCCTCACCCGGCGGCTGATGACGGTGCTGCAGCTGAAGCCGTGCACCTGTGTTCTCGGCGCCGATCCCCCGGCCGGCCGGCGGGGAGACGCGTCAGATACGTCCCAGCCTCCGAGACGGCCAGCGCCTGGGCGTCCTCAGCAGGCTCTGCTCGCCTTCTCCGTGTACACCAACACTCAGAAGCTGTTGGACACGACTCCGCGGAAGGGAACGCTCGCCTGTCTGCATGGCATCCGATTCTTCTCCATGACCTGGGTTGTTCTAGGTCACTCGGCGTCCGGTGCATTCTCTACAGACTACAGTCCTATGGTCGCGCTCGATTGGGCAAATAACCCTTTGTTTGAGGCAGTGCTGAATGGCACGCTGAGCGTAGACACATTCTTTGTGTTGTCCGGGGTGCTGCTGGCGCATGTTTTCTGTAACGTTTACCAGAAGACCGGACAATTCAACCTGCCCGTGTTTTACATCCATCGCTACCTGCGACTAACAGCGCCACTGGCGTTTATAATAGCCTTCAGTGCCACATGGTTCAGTTACATTGGTGACGGCCCGCTTTGGAGCCTTGCGAAAGGCTCGCAGTCCAGATGCCAGGAGAACTGGTGGAAAGACCTCCTCTACGTCCAAAACATCGTCGACTTCAAGCGGACGTGTCTGGGACCGACCTGGTATCTCGCCGTCGACATGCAGCTGTTCGTGTTCTCGCCGCTGGTGCTCCTGCCTCTGGTGTGGCGGCCCGTGCTCGGTGTGCTCTGGCTGTGCGCCGTCACCGTCGGGTTCCTGGTGCTCCGCGTGGCGATCTGGGCCGTCGATGACCTCCCGCCAGTGCAGTTCGAGCTCAGGCCGGAGCACAGCGACCTATTCGATCGCAACTACAAGTACCCGTGGACGCGCTGCACGGTGTGGCTGGTGGGCATCGGACTCGGCTTCCTCCTGCACAAGCTGCGCGACAGACGCGTCACGCTGAAGCCGTGGCAGTATCTGCCCGGCTGGATCGCCGCCTTCGCCGTAGGCATCTCCGTCGTGTACGGCATGCACAGCTACCAGATGCCCTGGGACCCGACGCCGAGCAAGGCTGTGGCCGTGGCGTACGGTGGCCTGCACCGACTGGCCTGGGGCCTCGCCGTCTCCTGGATCATCTTTGCCTGCGTCACCGGCTACGGCGGCGTCATCAACACGTTCCTTTCATACCCGGGCTTCGTGCCGCTCAGTCGGCTCACCTACGCTGGCTATCTGGTGCATAGCGACGTCCTGTTCTTTGGATTGTATTCACAAAAAAGCCCGATCTACTATGATGAAGTGCGGCTCGTTTACTGGATACTGTCACAAATCATGGTTACCTTCGCCGTTGCGTACATCTTTTCGTTGTCCTTCGAAGCTCCCTTTGTTACTTTGGAGAGGATAATTTTTGATGCATCCCCGCCAAAGCATGAAATCCAAGGCAAAATTGATTTAAACGCTCGTGATGGTTCAAAAGAACCGGACGATCGGGGAAGGTAGCTTCCGCAAGCGCCAGACCCTGCGACCTCGTTAATGCTGCATATTTAGGCTCATAAAAACCAAACCCATACTCGTCACTTGAGCATTTTCATCTGAGCTGTGGACAGATCATCGATACTGTTGTCGTTTTCGACGTCGAACAACTCCCCGACGGTGTGCTAACCGAGATCAAACAGTGGTTGTTATGGCCGGTATTTATTGCGTTTTCGGGGTATGAAGCCATCTGGACGTGTGGAGATCACGGAGACCCGCTGGGATTTGATGCCTGAGGGTTCAGCCAGGACCTGGACTTCCAGACGGATGACCTGGAGGGGCAGAGGGGGGGGGGGAGGATCGAGGATTTTAGTCCAAACATTCGGAGGAATAGGATCGGTGCTGATACCGCGGGAGGGCAGGAACGATTGCAGCAAGACCCTCCCCACCAACCACACTCCCGGTAAGCGCCACACTGCTTACGATCCACGGCTGCTTGGAATGTCAGCCACAGACCAACTGATCACTCATCAGCCACAGATCACCTGCCAGCCACGGATCACCTGTCGGCCACGGATCACCTGTCAGCCACGGATCACCTGTCAGCCACGGACCACCCGTCGACCACGGATCACCCCCAGCCACGGATCACCCGTAGGCCACGGATCACCCGTCGGCCACGGATCACCCGTCGACCACGGATCACCCCCCGCCACGGATCACCCGTCAGCCACGGATCACCCGTCGACCTCGGATCACCCGTCGGCCACGGATCACCCGTCAGCCACGGATCAACCGTCGACCTCGGATCATCCGTCGGCCACGGATCACCCGTTGACCACGGGTCACCCGTCAGCCACGGATCACCCGTCAGCCACGGATCACCCGTCAGCCACGGATCACCCGTCGACCACGGATAACCCCCAGCCACGGATCACCCGTAGGCCACGGATCACCCGTCGGCCACGGATCATCCGTCAGCCACGGATCACCCGTTAGCCACAGATCACCTGTCAGTCACGTTCGGCAGTGCCCATTTCTAATATGAACTTATGTGGCACACACCCTGGCACGTCGCGAAAATTTATCTCAAGGGGCGAACAAATGTAACACTTTCTCCCAAAATCCTGTCAATTTGGATCATAGTTCTGTGAAACAATCCAGCATTTTATGCAAAACTCTTAGTTTAGGGGAGAGGCACGGTCCTTTAACTCTCTCCATGGCCGTATCCCTGGACACACCTCACCACCTTCAGTCTCCCCCGCTGCACGCACGGGCTGCCCTCGCTGTGACGCTGGATGGAGATCTGGCGAGAGAGCTCGCTTATTCCGCTCGCCGGCGGCGGGTCCACGATGTGTGGCACACAGCGCACGTGACCCGCCGTCTGCAGGCGTTGCGCCGAGCTGACTACCCCCACCAGCCACATCGCCGCAAAATAACCGTTGTAGTCGAAGCGCCCCTAAATCCAAATATCAACACCATCGGTCTCAATGCTTACCAGCTGCGCAAGCTTGATACCGCGAACTCGGCGGCGCGCTAGCACAGCTGAGCTTTTAAGTCGCACCTCTAGGTGTCGCTGTGCTGCTAGATGCCAGTATCACACTCGCCCGTCAGGTGTCGCTCGGGGCGCGGTATTGCTGGCGCCGGCCTCCGTTATTCATCCAACCCTCTTATCCTCTTTCTTACTTAATCCTGAATCCTGGCAAAGCCCCGCTTATCTGGGACACGCCGCATGGGTCAGTCACGAATGGGCCGAGGGGCCCCCTGGACGGGGACCCGACCAAGCACCCAGCGCACACCGCGCAGAGGGGTCCCTGCGCAGGCTTAAACTCAGCGGTTGGTCTCCCCAGGCGTATGGAGTCCTGCCCCACCATTCCATTCTCCTCCATCCCATTGCCCTGACATGATCATTTCTGGTCAAAAGGGCTCTAATCCAAACAATTACACAGCCGAACAACCAAGCCTCCGTTATTCGAAGGTATAGATGTGACAGCGATAAAATAACCATGAAATTCTGGAAAAATGATGATTATGATAAGAGGATATTACTTAGAGCATTTACACTGAAAAACAAAAACTCATATAACAAGGTCCCACTTCGCGCCCTCAGTGGTTTGGTCCTAAATATACTTTTCTAGATCGATTAGTGTTTATTAGGTATAATGGACAACTGACGCCAGCTAACGGAAATCGCCGCAGCTGCGCCAGAAAGGCAACAGCATCGATTTCTCTTCTTTTAGGAGGACATATTTCTTTATTACAACGAAAATAGACAATACAATTGTAAAAAAACCAATTTGGCAGATTTACAGAATATACTATCGTTGTACTTTTGGGAAATCACTTGGTTGATGCGTTGGTACAGTTTCAATTCGCGTCCTTAGATGGCCACGGCATCTTCACAACAAATCCATGGAATATTAACGGACAAAATTCATTGCTTGTTTCAATGAACACAAGCTCACTCAACTTAAGCACATACGCTTGCTGCTAGCACTCAAAGGAAACTTACCGATTTTACGTGTGCAGTACATACAAATTCCGGGGGCGTCGCTCCAATGACGTCACAGCGTCCATATCACATTGGCTGGGCCTATGCCTGATCACCGCTGTTCGGCGAACGCGCCGAACCGCGATCCGCGTCAGTCGGTGCGGCGCGTGCGCGGGGTTTGGTGCGGAGCGGTCCGCTGCAGTGGATGGGAACGTTGTTGCATGAGTAACTCTCGCTGTTAGTCAGTCTGAATATCAACGAGTGGCGTGCTAGAGTCGTGTGCACCGTGGTTTATAGCTAACACGTTGTGGCGGTGAGTGTCATCCGGGTGTGGCCCCGGCGCGATTTTTGTCAGCTCATACATCTATCATGTGGCGGGGTTCGGAAAATGCCTGCATTTCCTGGCTGCTTATATCATTAACAGCATTTCTTAGTCGCCTGTATTGTTAGCAGCAAATGGCAATTGCAAATGATATGTCGACAATATCCCCACGCGTTATGCCACTAATGTCAGAACACCTGTGTGGATTTGTAGGTATTTTGATAGTTTGCTGCTGAGTCTGCGAAGCGCGGCAGCGCCTCACAAGCTCCCCGTTTAAGGAACGACAGGAAAGACGTGCTCATCTGAGGTGGCTTCTTCCGATCATGCCGGAATGCAACGAGTCCGTACATTTGTCAGCGCCTTCCTTACCAACGTGACACTATAGTGCTACCGCTACCCCCCCCCCCCCCCCCCGTGCAATCCGCCCGCGCTCTACCGAACCCTGGCTGACCCCAAGCGAGCCTCGGCTTGCCCTAACCGAACCCTGACATACCCCAACTGAACCCCGTGCTCCGCAGGCCAGCTGGACGATGCGAGTGCTCTGTCGACGCAACTTCAAGTGGCTGCTGCTGCTGGCCACTGCCTGGTGCTTCGGCATCGTCTACTACGTTCACGTCAAGTCGTCCGAGCCCCAGGTGAGGAATGACGCCACGGACGGCGTCGTGCCCCGCCCCGACCGCTGAGCGCGGCCGCACGTGCCCGGCGGGGCCACGGGACGGGTGGCTCGGCCTGGCCCGTGGCGGCTGCCGGTGTCGTGCCTGTCAGCTGATGTCAGCTGATGGTCCGGCGGCCTCGACCGGATGTGGCGGGGGGGGGGGGGGGGGGGGTAATTTGCGGATTTGCACGGCGGGAAGCCACAGCTCAGGGTCAGCGGGCTGAATAGATGATCGGATGGGCGTGAGTTCAAGACGTCCCGGCAGTGTGTTTTTGTTCTGCGGCGTCTGGAAATAGGATGCCGGTTAGTCCAGAATCGTGGATAAAGATGTCGTAAAATCATGAAACGCGATGGCTCCAGTCTTCAGGCCGGGAAGTTGAAGGACCATTGTTAAAAAGTCCTTCAACCGGGAAGTTTGGAAGTTGTGTTTCCAGTTTTATAGACCTCTTTCAGCATTGTATCGCGTAAGTACCAATGCCTGACGGGGCCAACACAATTTGCATTGCCTGTTTGCCAACACAGAAGATTACGTAGCTGCGGGTGCACAAGTCAGGATGCGTACAATATTCAGTTTAAGCCACATCAAATCGACACACCCGGATGTTCCATTGATGGTCATGTGTGAAGACAGACTGTTGCAAGATAATGGAGCACAAAAGTTTAATTTTCCCCAGCTATCAGATTGGAACACCGAATTTTGTATTGCCACGTACTTCGGCAATCTTTTTTTTCTCCTACTGTCATGCAACACCGGTGTAGGCATGCTTGGTTGACTTGGGGTGGAATCGGAACCAACCTCAGATTGGACCAGCTTTTCGTTGAGTCAGGACAGAATCGACTCATGTTAGTTTTGTGTCGGGATAGAGCCAAAGTTGGGTCAGCCAAATCATGGGCAATTCGTCTCAAGTGGAAGTGTGAGTTACAACATACAGAAACGGTCTGACGGCGCAGGCATGGCCCAGCTCGAGCAGGTCATAAGTATCCGTCGTGTTATCAAGGTGAATATCATAGATAGGTTTTTATGAGGCCATAGATCAAATGATAGCCTGAACAAGTGAGGCTGGAATCGACTCCACCGTGGTACAGCGACTTCTCGAGTCAGAATCGGAGTCAACGAAACAAGCGCTGCGCCGCTTGGCGTTCGGGTCGGAAACAGGAACCGTGGATCGAAGTCGGAATCGATTCCGCTGAGGCGAAACCAGCCCGGCGTCTATCAGCCAGCCCGGCGTCTATTAGCCAGCCCGGCGTCTGTCAGCTAGCCCGGCGTCTGCCAGCCAGCCCGGCGTCTGTCAGCCAGCCCGGCGTCTATTAGCCAGCCCGGCGTCTATCAGCCAGCCCGGCGTCTATCAGCCAGCCCGGCGTCTATCAGCCAGCCCGGCGTCTATCAGCCAGCCCGGCGCCCGCCAGCCGGTGCCGTCTGATGTGCAGACCGTGCTGCGACCGGTGCAGTCTGCTGTGCAGACCGTGCTGCGACCGGTGCCGTCTGCTGTGTAGACCGTGCTGCGACCGGTGCCGTCTGCTGTGCAGACCGTGCTGCGACCGGTGCCGTCTGCTGTGCAGACCGTGCTGCGGCCGGTGCCGTCTGCTGTGCAGACCGTGCTGCGACCGGTGCCGTCTGCTGTGCAGACCGTGCTGCGACCGGTGCCGTCTGCTGTGTAGACCGTGCTGCGACCGGTGCCGTCTGCTGTGCAGACCGTGCTGCGACCGGTGGCGTCTGCTGTGCAGACCGCGCTGCGACCGGTGCCGTCTGCTGTGTAGACTTGCTGCGTCCGGAGCCGTCGCGGTCTCCTGAGCGCGGCCGGTCAGCTGCGGCCGGGGCCCGATCATGGCGGGCCCAGGTGCGTGACGGCACCCATCGCGGTCCAGCGCTGATGACGGGGGCTGGCGGCACGACGGGCGACGCGGCCGGCTGGCGGGCCCGCGCCGCCGGACCGGTCCGGGGCGGGGAGGAGGCGCCCGCGCAGGGGTCGGGGCTCCGATGACCCGCGCCGGGGAGTGATCAGCTCCCGTCTGCTGGGCGCGTGGAGATTGAGCATTCCGGTCGGTCTGGAGAGGAAGGAGCGATCTATCTCGTTTCTTTGACGTTCTGAGATAATGATCGCGTGGCCGTTCGGTCCGAGACATTGGTCCTTTCCGTCTATTATATATTTAGCTGTTAGTGCAGCTCTAGATCTAGAATACTCTGTGAAAAGACAAAAGAAGCATGCGTAGATGCGTGCCAGACAAGGAGAAGTAATCTGCCACCAATCCTTCATGTCATTGCACCTTTTTTCTGTATTGGTAACCTTACCTGACATAGCCTACGTGGTAAATAGTTGATCCCCGTCTGCCATGCGCAAAGCTAATCTGCAGTGTCAATGGGACGCTCCACTTCGGCGCCGGAGACGCGTTACGTTTGGCTCGCCGGCTCCCGGCCAGCCCCGCTGCCCGCGCCCGCTTCTGCTGTCTCGGGTGCTAGGCCACTCGTCCTCCCCCTCGGTGAGTGAAGCGGCCGGGCGTGGCGCGCTGACTACGCCAACCCTCCCGGGAGAGAGTCACCGCGCGCCGCAACCGTAAGCGTTCGGGCGGCTCGTCGTCGGCTTCGCGATAGTTGTGTTACAACAAAACCTCCGACGGACAGGAGTGCTATGACATTACTTCCACTGCTAATACTTATGCACGACATGAGTGCTACGTAGCAGCACTTCTGCTACAAAATTATTCTGGTTATTACTGCTGCTGCAAAAAAAATGTCTGCAGTCGCTGCTTATATATGACTTTACTTGTACTGCAAAGACTTGTGCGCGGTAATAGTGCTACACGACAAAACCTATTCTTCAGAAATTTCGCCTTTGACTCGTTGCAGTTGAAGTAATTTCGCGCATAAGTAAAGACTGTATGAGTTCTTGCAGTAGAAGTGATGACCGGCAAATGTATTTGCAGCATAAATTTTGCGGTATAGTACTGATATAGCGTATGCGTTTTTGCAGTAGAACTAATATCGCGTATGAGTACACACTTTTTAAACCCTTGAGTTTAAGTCCGATGGTGTTAGTCCCTTAGTCCAGAGTTAGCCCAAAGTCCCTCTGACTTTGACAAGTATAAGTTTTTACAGTAGAAGTAATGTCGCGTATGAGTAAAGACTACATAAGTATTTGCTGTTTAAGTCATGACGGGTATAAGTATTCGCAGTAGAAGTAATGTCGCGCAGAAGTAAAGGCGGTGTAGGTTTTTGTAGTGTAAGCAATGCCTCGCACAACTGATCAAGCACTCGTGCCGGTGCGAGTTTTTGCTATATCGTGTATCGTGTATATAGTCTCATATTGTGACTCTCATAGCCACAGGTTAGTCATTTATTGGAATTCTTCCACACAGTGGTAATAATGAATTCAGTCCAAGTGCTTACACAACGCTGCAAAGCACTAGGCGAACACACACTCCCCATGAACACACACAACAAGAACCCTCGTCGCCTCGCTCCCCGCTCCTGGACGCCGTGGACCGCCACGGAAGCGCGTCACGTGGTTGGTGCGCAAGCTCTGCCCGCACCGCCGCCGCGTCAGCTCCGTCGCTGCCCCCCCCCCCCCTCCCCCCCTTCCCCTCCCTGTCCACTGCGATGGGTTGGTCTTTTGGACCGTGTGTTTGTCGTGAGTCGGTTAGGTGACTGGCGCAAGTGCTGCAAGGTCGCGCGGGGCATGAGGGTCACCTGTGGCGGTCAGCTGGATCGGTGGCTCGCGAACTGGCGCTGGTGTCTTGTCACTAGGTCAACTCACGACGCCAGACAGCGCCCGGCTCCGGAGAAGGGGCATAACCGTACAGTCCTTGCGAAACGGTGGCAGTTGGTGACAACGCGAAGCACGCCCTCCTCTGGTCAGCGCCATTACGTCGAGAGAGCTCTAATCAAATCAGGAGATTTTGATCGCCACACAGGGGTCATGAAATGGGAGCTAATAAGGAGAGAAAGCGCTAACAAGACACGGTGTGTGCGGTTTTGACATTCGACGCCACTAGATTGCATCACCGACTTCCATCGGCACATTGAGCTGCACCAATGAACGAACTTAGCAGCAACAGAACCGTCCAACTAAGTTTGAAGCGCTCGATTGGTCGGAAGCTGCTGATGAGCAGCGTGTATGGCGAGATGTGTCCATCTTTACGTCAGACCCGTGGGATCAGCTGATGAAATGGCAAGCATTCAAGCTGTGTTCTCAGCTACCGGTCAACGGTCAAGTATGCAGATTGGTGTTAGCTGGTGGGTGAAAGGATGCCAGGCATGGACGCCTGTTTTTGGCAATGCTCCAGTGCAAGTCCAGAGAGGTCACGACCCTTGCAGATATCTGATTCTTGCGGGTGACAGAGCAACCCCGTGGGGGCAAACAAACGCGTACCGGCCCGCATATTATGTGCCTCGTTTCCCTTTTTGGTGGGCGGAGCGCTTTTTGCGCCGCCGAAGCTGGCATCGACACGCGTCGACACCGCTCTGTTAGGTGCTTTAAAAACACTGTCGGCCGAGCCCCGCCTCCCCGACTAGTCACGGAGCACGCACACGTGCTGTATCGCCGGAACTCTGGCGCCCCACCCGAGGCGTGCCTGCGTCAGCGCCGTCGCCTGGCCGGCTGAGCCGCGCGGAGCGGCACCTGTTCGGCCCCTCGTCGGCTCGAACAGACAGCTGCTGGCGGGGGAGCGTCAGTGCGGAGCCGGCGCGCGCGGCTGCGGCCGGCCGCGGTGAGCCAAAGCGGCCCGGCCCTGGGGGGCCCGTCTGGCGTACGTGCTGCAAGTGAATTCTTAGCCTTCAGAAATACAGGAATAGACGTGCTGTGGAGGAGTCGAAAACAAGATTGGTCAGTTTGGGTGAATTGGTGTTTGGGGATGTCGTTACGAGTATTTCTGTTTCGATTCGTTGAATTTGACTCAGCAGCGCTGTAAAATCGTGCCGAGCCGCCGTGGCATTGTCGTTTCGTGAGCAAAGGTGCTTCGTGAGCAAAGGTTATTCGCCGTTTCATGTGATGTAGTCGTCAGCAACGATGTGCCAGGTAGTCGGAGCTGCCGACCAAGCCAGCGGACAGACTCCGATGGTGTCTTTAGCCGTGAGGCCTGGCCCCACGTACCACAGGACACTCCCGGCGGCTCGGCCTCGTCGGTGACCGCGGCCACTGCCACGGGCGCGAGCGTGGAGCCGGCCGGCCTCGGCCCACCCCCGCGGTGACTGCGTGGTGGCGCTGAGCTGACCCAGAGCCGCCGCCGGGCCGCTGGCGTCCGCGTGCCAGCGGTGCGCCGCGCTGAACCAGAGGCGGCGCCGATCCCAGCAGCGGGGCACGCGCCGGCGCCGGCGGCGTCCGCGTGCCAGCGGTGCGCCGCGCTGAACCAGAGGCGGCGCCGATCCCAGCAGCGGGGCACTCGCCGGCGCCGGTGGCGTCCGCGTGCCAGCGGTGCGCCGCGCAGGACCAGAGGCGGCGCCGGTCCCACCAGCGGGGCACACGCCGGCGCCAGCGGCTCTTGAGCGGCCGGGTGGCCACGGCGGCCGGAAATGGCGTCACGTGAACGACGTTGGCGGCACATCGGCCCCAGCCGCTCGTCCCACGTTCGTTCGTTTGTCCCACGTTCGTTCCGCTGCCTTCCACTTGGTAGCTTCGTACGCTGTCAGTCACGGCAAGTTCACAACCGTGCTCGCCGTGTGGTTTTCGGCACAAGGGCAGATCGTGATGATGTTCACGAAATGTCAGGTGTTGGTTGATCGGTTCACAGCGCCGGTGCAATTGCTTTTTCTCGTGCCCCGGGGTACTGCATCATTTCAGGCATAGTTGGCCTGAATGGCATGGTACATGCTTCGATGCCTGGCCATTGGTATCGTAGACCCAACATCCGGCGTCGATAGATCGGTAGGAATTACTGAAGAAAATTACATGTGCCTGGGCCTACGTTATTCTTGACTGGCCTCCGTTGATAGTGTACCCAAGGCATAAACATGATGTGTCTTGTAAATCATGGAGGGTTCGTGGCTTTACCTGGTGAGAGCGCTGCGAACAGCTGCGTTGCATCAGCAGAAGTTAAAGCGCAGTCAAGCATGCGAAGCGCCTTCTATTGCAGTCTGCCGCACTGTCGCCAGCAAGATCTCCGCCGCCGTCGCCGGCGTCGCCGTTTCGCCATCCTTCGCGCCGCTCACCGGACGTCGGCAGCGGTGCATCATCTCCCCTCCCCCCCCCCCCCCCCGGCTGACCGATAGGGCCCGGCCCGGCGGTTTCACCCCGGGCCGATCCGTCCTCGCATCGGATCGGGTGCCACCCTGGCGAGGCGACCGTGACGCTCGCGCGCCCGCCGACTTTCGCCGCGTCGCGACGTCGCCCCGATCGCGGAGGGAGGGGGATCCGGCGTCCGACGGAACGGGCGGCGCGGGGGCGCGGCCGCCCCCGGCCCGCTCGCCGCCGCCGGGAGATGGCGCGAGTGCCCACGCGTGACCGGCGGTGATGCACCGAGAGGCGCCGCCGTCGAGGACTCTCGGGCCGAGGGGCGGCGAGAGGGTGCGACCTTTTGAACAAATGACGTGTCGTGCGCTTTCACGCGCGTTTCTGATTGCGAGAGCTGATTTTGGCCCGGCGTGGTTGTCGTGGATAAGATCGATTTTTTGTTCGCTTCTGTGGTCCGTGGTCTGATGGTCCGTTTTTACTTGGTTTTATTGCCTTGTTGTCGTTCGTTGCCCTCGTCAGGCTTGGCTGGCATGACTGGTGTGCCACTACATTTGTCCATGTTCGCGGGGAGTTTGGTTAGTTGGGTGACTTTTTAGATTTCTCTTTTCTACCATCTTGCACAGGCGATTTTGGGTGCAGAGCTCGTTGCAGCGATCACACTCAGTCGGGGCTGTTTGTCCTCGGCTTTTTAGTCTGGTAGAACTGCAGGAGTATCCCATGGTGCCCGTCTCCGCCACGTGACCTCCCCTTGTCTGGTCGACTGTTTTTGGCCAGTCGTCGACCAGCCTTTGCGTACCGGTGCTTACCCTGCCGGCTCGACGTACGTATTCGTAGCGACTCAAGCACAGCGCCGGCGGGCCCGATCACGCTGCAGGTGTGTGCTTTAGACCACTGCAGCAGCGGGGCCTCTCGACGTGATGGCGGTGACGTGACGTTAGTGACGTGACGGTGGTGACTCAGCGTGAAAGGCGGGCTCACCAGTCACCCGTCTGGCCCGGCTTCGTCCCGATTATGGCTTAACAGCGGCCAGCCGACTCCGGCCGAGCTTCAGCTGAGTCGCAGCCGACCCCCAGCCGACCTCCAGCTGGGTGCGAGCCGAGCTGTCGTAGAGCTCCCGCCGAAATCCGGCAGTGCTTCAGCTGAGCCCCAGCTGAGCTCCGGCCCAACCCCAACCGAATTCCAGCTGAGGTGCTTTAGCCAAACTGCCGGCACATTTCGCTCAAGTTGTAGCCGCACTTCCGCCGAGTTTGGGCCAAACTGCAGCCGAGCTGCAGCCGAGTCTCAGCCAAGCTTTGGGCGATTGCGTTCGGGCGGCGGGCGAGCTGTATGTGGGCTAGGCGGCCGGGCGGGGCCGGCCGGTTGACCGACGCTCGCCACGCGCCATTGCCCCTCCCCCTTCCCCGCCCCGACACGCGACCACCTGTCCCTCCGACCAGCCGACCCGAACTAGAGAGCAGGGTGCCCGCCGGACAAGGGGTCCATCGGACTGCTGGGCCTGCCGAGTGCCGCTGGTGGCCAGTGCACTGGTGTGTCAGGACTCCGGTGTATCACTGGTGTGTTATTGGTGTATCAAGACTCTGGTGTGTTATTGGTGTATCATGACTGGTGTGTCACTGGTATGCCACTGGTGTGTCAGGCCTCTGGTGTATCACTGGTGTGTCAGGACTCTGATGTACCACTGGTGTGTTATTGGTGCATCAGGACTCTGGTGTGTCATTGGTGTGTCAGGCCTCTGGTGTATCACTGGTGTGTCAGGACTCTGGTGTATCACTGGTGTGTCAGGACTCGGTCTGATGCGTCCAGATGAAGGGACGGATTGCACATGGAGTGGGCTGGACTGCACGGCCAGTCGTACCCGTGTCGTGTGTCCCTGACATGTTGTCATCCACCGACTGGCTGAACACCTGGCGTGTGTCAAGCGTTGCCTGCTGGGAATCTGAAGCTGTGCTCTGAACAACGCGAGGGGCTCGGCCGGTTGCCCATGTTCGTGCCGTCAGCACGTGAACATCACCAGGTCTTCATGCAACATTACCAGATCCTTCGCTGTCAGGCGGGGCAGCGGTTGTCTGGCGAGCAATTGCATTGGACTGACATGGCTGATTGCTTCGTGGCCATGTTCTGACGCCTCGATATTTGAGGTGCCACCGACTTGAGTCATGACCCGGCATGTGGCCAACACAGCGTCAAACTAGTCCAAAGAAAACGCAACGGCAGTAATCGGTCCGTCAGCGAAACAGAAAGGACCGCGCTGGCTTTACTCGCTTCCAAATCCCGAGAAACGCCGTCGGTAGCTCGTGAAGCTCCATGATCGTCACCTCTGCGCGTGCAGTGTGGCCGACCGACCTCATGACCGGCCTCACGCGCCGAAACCGCGCAGAGCACCGCATCACTGACCGGCCGCTGACCCTGCCAACAGGGGGGCGTGAACCGGGCCCTGCGGCTCAAGTCGGCACCGACCGACGTGACGGTCGGTCGCCGGCCGCGCGCGCCGCTCTTCGACGAGCAGCGCTACGTGCTGGGCGGCGCGCTCAGGCCCGGCGAGGACCCGTACAAGCGCAACAAGTTCAACCAGAAGGTCAGCGACGGCCTGGCCAGCGACCGCACCATCCCCGACACCAGGAGCGAGGCGTGAGTACCCCGGGGGCAGGCCGTGTGGAGGTGCAGGGCTGGACGGACGGTCGGTGCGGAATTCGGCGGGCCTCCGTGGGGTCGGTGGTCAGTGGTACTTGGCGGATCTCCGTGAGGTCAGTGGTCAGTGGTACTTGGCGGGCTTGCATGTGATCAGTGGTCAGTGGAAGTCAGCGAAATTTCTTGGGATCGGTTTACAGTTCCCTGGGCGATCAACCCGGTTGTTGGTGTGACCGCTTGCAATAGTAAACATTTGCGTGCGTTGACAGGGCAATTAATAACCAACAGCTTCTCTGAACATGATTTCTTCCTGGTGCGGGTGCGGCCCATACAAGTCGCGATAAACTTGGTAAAGCTAGGCTGGCCGGCGGGCGCGGTGGGCGTCGCCGACCGCGCTGGACACCGTTCGGCTGCGTGCGCGGCCGGCGCGTCCCTATGATGAGGCCTTCCGGGGACGATACGCACCGCGGCCAGCGCGCGCCCCGCCGCCGATTAGGGACGGCCCACTGGTGGCCTGCGGCCACGGCCGCTTCTCTGGGATGGCCCACTGGCGGCCTGCGACCACGGCCGCTTCTCTGGGATGACCCACTGGTGGCCTGCGACCACGGCCGCTTCTCTGGGATGGCCCACTGGCGGCCTGCGACCACGGCCGCTTCTCTGGGATGGCCCACTGGTGGCCTGCGACCACGGCCGCTTCTCTGGGACGGCCCACTGGCGGCCTGCGACCACGGCCGCTTCTCTGGGACGGCCCAACGATGGACGGCCGCCTCACAGCGGCGCGCCGCCGCTGGGCGGCGCCATTCCCGATGTGTTTGTGCGACCCTCCTGAGCGCGGCATAGGTCTGCTGCTACACTAGGGTACCACAGCATGTATTGAGGCTGATGTCCTCGCATCAACCACGCCCGTCGCTCCATTGCGTGCCAATGCGATGATTGGCGCAGAAATGTCGCAGTACGGCCACACTAGGCAAGGGCTGCGGCGGCACACTGGCTCAAAGACCAAAGGGCGGCTAACGCGAGACCTTCCTCACGGTCTATTTACATTCCATTTGATACCGCAGCGGCAGTGAAGGTGAACGTCGGTGGAACGCGCCAGCTCCGCCAAAAGTGACGGGACCCGGCGCGTGTCGCCGCCCTGACGTGGCGGCGGCTCTGAGAACGCTATCAGGCAGCCAGACCGTACACGGCAGGGTCACTCGAACAAGTCAGACCTCTGGCGAAGGATTTTACAGCATCAGTTCAAGTTGAACCGGTGGACCGGTCTCGCCATATTGCCCCAGATGTGAGGATCCGCTCCCGGCTAATCGTTCGCAGCCACGCCCCATATACACCCTGGCTTTTTGTCCCGGCGCACCGCTGCTGACCTACGGTGAGAGCTCGGAGACTCCGGTGAACAGCTCGGACCAGAACAGTTCGGAGACTCCGGTGTGCCCGACGCGAGACCCAGCCAGTGGTGCCGTGGTGCCATCCGTTGATGCTGAGTCAGCCGGCCGGGCCGAGATGGCCGCCGCCTGCGGCGTCGGCATCATGCGTGCAGCCTTGCTAATGCACACCAACAAATCATATTTAATGCCTTGCAACCGCACACCGACGAACAACTGCGCTGCCGACCGCGCCCGACTCTGTGCGCTGGGCCAGTCTTCTCCCAAAAGCCGCCGTGTTAACTGGACCAGTACTCTCCCGAAAGCCACTGCGTTAACTGAGCCAGTCTTCTCCCGAAAGCCTCCGTGGGAACTACGGTGAGCTTGAACTATATCCTTCTGCCTCAAAATAAACAGCAAGACGAAGTTAACTGTGAGCAAACATGCACGATCCGTTCTGAGTCAGCCTGATAGAGCCCGTGGTCGCACGACCGCAGCGCTCCGCAGAGTCGTGCGTGCTGCAGCGCGGTGCATTGGTGTCGGCGGCGCCGCCGGTTGGCGGCCGGCGGTGTCGGCTGCCGACCTTGAGCGACCGATGCTTGCCACACGCCGCCCCGGCCGGTGGGAGTCGCGGCTCTGTGGCGTGCTGGCGTCCGATTGCGCCGGTGCCGGCGGCGGATTGGGCTCGCTCGCTGCCGGCGCCAAACGCCGTAAATCCCCGCTGAACAGCGGCGTCATGGTCTTGAAACATTGCGAGACCACTCTGACGATAATTGATGCTGTTTGCGGCTCGGCGCGGCGGGTGATCCAGTCCACTCGCAAGGCCGCGTGCCTTCTCCCCGGAGCGGAGACGAGTCGGCTGACGCTAAAACGCCGTCGTGCCGGCCAACGGCCGACGACGCGAACTCGCGAGGGGCTCGCCGCGCGGTGGCGACACGCTGCCGGAGTGAGAGCCGTCGGTGGCGAGGCTGCCGCCTCGTTCGCGACTGTGCGAGTCTCGTGCGGTCCCGGGCGCGCGCAAAACGCCCGCTCGCGCCGCGCGTGACGGGGCGGCGATTGGCACGTGACAGTTTTGAAACGCGTTTGGTTCCCAGATATGCTTAGATCATCGGCTGTAATGGATGGGCGCAACGTGGCGCATTTCGTAACGCTTTATGTGAGTGTTGTCCCCGTTACCGTTTCGATTTCATAAGCGTTTGGTGCGAACGCGTTTTCGCCGTTAGCGTAACGACCAGCGTTCTGATGACATTGGCCGCCGTGGCGTCAGAGGGGGGGGGGGGGGGGGGTAGCTGCCTGTTTGAAATCGACCGGAGTGGATGCCGTCTAGCTATTGTTCGTACCTGGGCATGGAGCTCCTCACCGTTCGTGCTGATACGTAATGGAATGGGGCCCGAACAACGTGTTTCGTAAAATATTTACGGCATGCCTTTCTGATCTACATATGTTACTTTTCGCCGAGAGGTTGCGCTTGGTGCCTTCGGAATGTTGCAGTATTTTCGACCTAAATTGCGCCCAGTGAGGGGCCTCACATGGTGGGCTCCATTTTGGCAGTGTATAGCGTTGGCGTCCGACGATGCTACAGAAATGAGACAGTATTCCAGATGGTTGGGACTTGTGTACCCGACCCATGTGAGGCCGCAAACTTCCTACTGCATCGAACAAACGAACGACGAAATCTCGGAGGGCATGCCGCAGATATTGTAATTGCTCCTAGAATCCTCCTTGAGATTACTCCTGGCACATGCTTGAATGACGGTGCCCGCAGGAGGACGGCGCCCGCGTCCTTAAAGCGTACAGTGACTTCGTCCTCTCGGTAACCCAGTCCCCCAGTCCAACACCGCCCTGCCTGGCCCTCTCCCAGTCCAACACCGCCCTGCCTGGCCCTCTCCCAGTCCAACACCGCCCTGCCTGGCCCTCTCCCAGTCCAACACCGCCCTGCCTGGCCCCTTCCCAGTCCAACACCGCCCTGCCTGGCCCTCTCCCAGTCCAACACCGCCCTGCCTGGCCCTCTCCCAGTCCAACACCGCCCTGCCTGGCCTTCTCCCAGTCCAACACCGCCCTGCCTGGCCCTCTCCCAGTCCACACCGCCCAGCCTGGCCCTCTCCCAGTCCAACACCGCCCTGCCTGTCACTCTCCCAGTCCAACACCGCCCTGCCTGTCCCTCTCCCAGTCCAACACCGCCCTGCCTGGCCCTCTCCCAGTCCAACACCGCCCTGCCTGGCCCTCTCCCAGTCCACACCGCCCAGCCTGGCACTCTCCCAGTCCAACACCGCCCTGCCTGGCCCTCTCCCAGTCCAACACCGCCCTGCCTGGCACTCTCCCAGTCCAACACCGCCCTGCCTGGCCCTCTCCCAGTCCAACACCGCCCTGCCCGGCCCTCTCCCAGTCCAACACCGCCCTGCCTGGCCCTCTCCCAGTCCAACAACGCTCTGCCTGGCCTTCTCCCAGTCCAACACCGCCCTGCCTGGCCCTCTCCCAGTCCACACCGCCCAGCCTGGCCCTCTCCCAGTCCAACACCGCCCTGCCTGGCACTCTCCCAGTCCAACACCGCCCTGCCTGGCCCTCTCCAAGTCCACACCGCCCAGCCTGGCCCTCTCCCAGTCCAACACCGCCCTGCCTGGCCCTCTCCCAGTCCAACACCGCCCTGCTTGGCCCTCTCTTAGTCCAACGCCGCCCAGCCTGGCCCGGGCCTCGTTCGCTGTAAGCCGGCTGCGTGATATACTAATATGTGTGTTTACATTGCGCCCACCTGAATTATGGGCAGTTACCGCTTGGTGACTGTTACGCCCCAGTTGTGCCCCGCCTGTGGACCGGGCCGGCTGTTTTCCTACTCACAGCTGAAGAAACGGCTGTAGCGGCAGCTGACATGTGAAAACAGCGGGAAGCTGGCACACGGGGCCGCACTGGCTGTTGGTTTGGCACGGTCAGGCCACGGGTGGGCGTGGCCGGCGCCGGCGCCGGCGAGGGGATCAGCGGGACGCAGCCTGTTTCGAAAGCGCGAAGCATGCTCGTTGACGACCAGTGTCGTTTGCGGTTGTCGAGACGGTGGTTCTACTCGCGCGGGTGCTGGAGAGGAAACGCCGGGCACGCAAAATGGCCGGAGCGTTCGGCGCACCTTGGCACACACGAGGCACCGCGCCTCTGGCGAGACGTGAGACTGGACGCGTGACACGTACGCGTCTTCCAGCACCTCAGATCACCAGCTCCCCAGACACTGCATCTTCGCCGTGCGACGCACGTTTTCTTATGGTGTACGGACCGTCGCATGAAGCATGAAGTTCCTACGGCGATATCTCTTCTTCTAACTGCCGGTGCTCTCATAACCAATCACACGTCGCTAACGTACATTTTCGCCTTGGCTCGTTGACAGTTTCCGTTATCTTATGGTTTTTACTGATCCGCGCGCGTCTGTTTCCGAGAGTGGCTGCGGCGAGGAGCGGCGCGCCACGGCGTCGCGGTTCGTCCCAGGTTGTCGCGCTGCGCCGCCGCCGGCTCACGCACGCCAGCTGGGTGATTAATGACGGCTGCCGGCCCGCCACGCCGGCTTTCCCTCCTTTGCTTTTGGGACTCGCATGAGAACAATTTTCACGCTGGCTTACACCACATGGCCAGAGCTGGGCGAGCTGGGCCGGGGCTGGG